CGCGACCTGCCTCCGCGCCAGCCTCAGCTCCCTCCTGTGGACATGTGTTCCAGGTGATCTAGTGTGAAGATTACAAAGAGCCGACATACATAAAAGTTTGTAGTCCTGGTCCCTCGACTGGCCCTCGCTGACAGCGACACCACAGGCGGCCGTCTCTCTCAAACAGAACCACCCAGACAGGACATTGTCTTCTTAGACCTTAGAACACTGAGGCCGCCCTCACCCTGCCTGGGCTCAGCCTCCACGTGCCATTCACACGTGCCTGCCACGCTTACTTAACCTTAAACTAGACGGCCTGCTTCCTGCGCCCTCAGCACGCCGGTGCAGGAAGCACGGGCTCCGAGGTCACGCGCTCCAGAGGAAAGGAGACAGGCCCCGAACAGCCACGGTTTCTCAGCACCGACGGGAGCCACAGACAGGGACGCGCTCCTGCACTGTCACCTTCAGGCTCACACCAGGAGGAGCCTCACTGTCCCCGCTCGGAGCAGAGAAGTTGGGGACCACACACAGGTGGGCAGAGTGCACAGGTGCTGTGAGAGATGGGGGCCTCTGTCTTGGGAGCCCTTGGCCTTGACCCTGTGCACACTGCCCTTCACCAGAGACCAAGCCATCCAGCCTGCACGGCGTAGCTGGCTGAGCAGCTGGCTGACCCTCCCCTGGAGCGGTGCGAGGGGGAAGCTGGCAGCGATCAGTCAGGCGCTGCTGACACAGCTTCACGGAGTCCCATTTAGAGCTTCTGAATGCACGGCTTCCTCAAGACCGGAAGCTACGTTACCGAAGAAAATGATCCAGGGAATTCTTACATACTTCCGAACTGTGTGACCCCTCTCCCCTACGTAAAACAACAACGTTGTCACTATTTTCCATCCAATTTCCCACCAGGCATCCCTCACCTGCCTCTGGCATCCAGGAACACAGCTGGCAAAGATGGGGGAGGGTGGGGAGTCCAGGTAAGCACATTCAAAATGACCTTTTGCAAAGGATATATTTCGCCCATGTTTTGACTTATGATGGAGGGACCATCTGCCTTTCACTCCACGCAGGAATATTCAGTGACCTACGTGCTTCTGCAGACTTATCCTATATAATAAAAGGCTAATATGCAAATCCATTGAATGATGGAACAACTAGTCCCTATAACACGCACTGACCATTAAGGAGCAGAGGCTCAGCACAGGAGCTGCCCCCTGGTGGTCAGTGCACTCCCATAGGGGGAGCACTGCTCAGCCAGAAGCCGGGCTCATGGCTGGCGAGCGCAGGGGTGGTGGTGGGAGCCTCTCCAGCCCCGAGGCAGTCAGAGATCCCTCAGGCCCCCGGAATGCGAGAGGGCACAGGCAGGGCTGAGGAGCACCCCGCCCTCAGGGCATGGATCTCGTGCACCAGGCCTCTAGTGTACTTATATGTAAGCACAGTACTACCGTTTCCCCGAAAAGAAGACAGTGTCTTATATTAATTTTTGCCCCCAAAGATGTGCTAGGTCTTATTTTCAGGGGATGTCTTATTTTTCCATGAAGAAGAATATGGTACACATTTATTGTTAAATGAAAATAAAGGAAATTTATTACCTGTATACGGTACGGTAGTACGGTAGTTGTCAACACAAACCAGACAAACTGTGAATCCTACAGTATCAAGAATTTACTCATTTATTCAATGACAATCATGTCATCATCTTCTGGAACATCATCATAACAATCCAATTCCTGAATTTCCTGGTGAATTTCTTGTGACTCCATTTCTTTCAGAATCAGTGGACCAAATCTCTCATGTTTAGCAATAGCATTCTGAGACAGAGCCTAGGGGGCCTTATTTTCGGGGGGATGCCTTATATTTCATTCAGAAGGAAACCTGTAAGTAGGTCTTATTTTCGGGGAAACACGGTAGCTTTGTAATAGACTTGGATATAATACTATTTTGTTTCATTTATTTTACAATAATAGGAAGCTTTCAAAGAACTCATCTGTTCAAGTCTGATGTGACACACAGCGGGCTGGAGGAATGACACATGAGGAAATGGAACGCAGACCCACATGCGTCTGGGATTCTAGTCTACACCAAAGGCACTAGTTCAAGTCCATGGGGGACGATAAGACTTCTTTTAATCCTCTGCCAGGACAAGCTTATTGATCTGATAGAGAGAGACCGAGAGGGACAAACAGCAATTGACTGCCTCCTATACATGTGCCGAATGGGGGCCAAACCCACAACCTAGCTATGTGCCCTGACCAGGATCCAAACCCACAGCCTTTCGATGCACCCGAAACACTCCAACCCCCTGGGCCACCCCAGCCAGGGCGAAAAGGTAAGAGTCCACAGTAAATGGCGAAAGTGGATGTTGGTGCCTCTGAAGAAAGCTGGAGCCACGCTTCCTACAACTGGTCAACCAAGGGCATCTATGGCTTATGGTCAAACAAGAGTACAGGAGGATATATAAAATATAGCCTTTATATCCTCGCAGGAAGAACTTTTTAAAAAGCATAACAACTTTTTTACATGGTAAAATATACTCCAGGAAAACTAGAAAGACAAGTTAAAAGTTGGGGAAAAACATTTGTAATTCCTAACACAAGGCCATCTCTTCCGGAGACGGTGCGAGCTCCTTGAAATTGAGAGGAGTCCAGAAAATCCAACAAACAAGCAAAGGAAAATACCTGCCTTTCAAACATACAGAAAGCTGCTGGATTCACTCATGAGAACAAACGTAAACGAAAATCACACCAAGCCATTGCCTTTCACCCAGCAGACGTCAGAGACGGGAAGTGTGGTGACAGCGAGTCCCGATAACCTCCCTCGGATCATTGCGGAGGTTTAAGATGTTACCATATGAGGAAGGTAGATGAAGGGGGTAGAGGAATCCTTTGTTCTATTTTTGCAACGTTTCGTGAGCCAAAATTTATTTCAAAAGTAACAATTTTGAAAATCACCAGAAAATGTGTCCGTGTGACACAGCAGCAGCTGGGAGGTCGGAGGAGCAGACCTCTCCCCCAAGCGGCAGAGCTGCAGCCTCGGCGGGCAGGCTGGCAGGACAGCAAAACGCAGAGCCTGAGAGCCCATCAGGTCCACAGCTAAAGAAATGACCTGCTCTGCTGAAGTGCTATTCCCGTGTGAAACAGGAGAAAAGTCTCTAAGCTCAAGCAGAAAACGTTCAAAGCCATACAGTAACTCAGAAGCAGGTGAGAACGTCAGACGGAATCCAATCTGATCTATGAAGGCAATGAGTTGCCACTCCGCACACACCCCAGCTGATCATCGTGGAGATTCATGACCCGCGTGCACCAATTCTCCGTAACCCGGTGGGCTCTCCGCAGGCTTCTCTGCCTCAACAACCCATGAAGCGTTTAATCCACACCACACGGACCTCCGGGAAACGTCACTCTTCACACCCGACAATATAAAGAGCATGTCACCCTCCATTTCTCCTCTCTAAACCAATCCACAATCGCCACAGTTACGTCTTATTAAACTGAGATAGTATAATGTACAGACCATAAAATTCACATCAATCGTAAGAGAAGGGAGAAAATAAGAAGAAAACAAATGGATCCGAGTGGCCTAGGACTTGGACGCTGCAGAACCCTCAGGGTGCACACGGACACCGGAGCCCTATTGGCTGTGGCCTTGGGGCGCCTCCCCCAGGAGAGGGGCCTCCCTTATTGGCTAATTCACCTGCCTTTTTAAAAGTAAAACAAAACAAAATACTATGTATCATTTCCAAATTTAAAAAAAAAGTTTCCACAAAATGGTAATAGATATGTGAAAACAAATCTGAAAACGAGCTAACCTTAACTCAGAATATTAATCCAATCGATACTTATGTTCAAACATGCCTTGTGGAGGTAGGGGAGAATATAGTATTGGCTCTGAAGTAGATGGAACGCAACAGTAAGTTAACGAAAAGGAGGTACAGTTTGTTCTCCCAGGAAACGAGCCGAATCCGATGATGACAGCTCACCCCCCACCCAGCCCGCTGATTCAGCGGGACCCAGCTGTCTAACACGTGCAGTGGGCACCAGCCACTTCACAAACTGAGGAAACCACAGTCAATGCGTCCACACCAAACCGCTGAGCTTTTCATCGCCAAATTACGAGCCGGTTCTTTTCAGAAGCATGTGTCCCTGCAGCGGGAGCGGGTGGCCTCGTGGGCACGGTGCTCACAGGCTACGGGGAGAGCCGGGGTCTCCGCTCCTCGGCCTCCCTCTGAGGAACCACCGTCCTCATGGGCAGCAAGTCCCCGCCCGGACTCCTCACGTCCTTCCTGCCTCCCCACGGCCCGATGGGAGCCCCGCAGCACGAGGCCCAGGCTGCTCCCCATCTTCAGCCCGAGCTGCCACCCCCGGCAGGTCCCTCACGCATGCGCAGTAGGAATGCCCACTTGCCCAATGGGCAGCGGCTGTTCCTGCGGAGAAAGGCAGGGGCACAATGTTGCCCTCCCCGCTGCACATGGCAACTGCTCTGCTGGTGGCCTGAGGACTCTGACTTACACCGCCGCCCAGACACAGCACACACTGTGCTTTATTTCTGTGCAGAGCCCGGCTGGTGTGGCTCAGTGGCTAAGCGTCGGCCTATGAACTAGGAGGTCATAGTTTGATTCCAGGTCAGGGCTGGTGGGCTTGATCGCCAGTAGGGGCGTGCAGGAGGCAGCTGATCGGTGATTCTCTCTCATCGCTGATGTTTCTGTCTCTCCCTCTCTGAAATCAATAAAAAATACATATATTTAAACGTATAAAGGCGAAATAGGGGGATTTTCAAAGGTTGTGCCTCTGGTGAGTGAAAAAGGCATGTAACTCAACATCAGCTTTTTCCCTGGGGGAGAAGGGAAGGTGCTGAGAGGAAGGGTGGGCGGATCAGACTGAGTCACAGGCTGGAGAGGAGAGTGTGTTTTTGTCGGAGGGCCATGAACAGGGACTCTGTGATAAATCTATTTCTGAAAGACCACACTAATGGCACCAAGCCAACCCCAAATATGCGAACCTCAGAAGTAAAACGTTAATAAAGCTCACCCTGTCACAGGTCCTCAGGGGCCGGCGGAGCGGGCTGTCACGGCGATGCTGTCACTATCTGATCATGTGGCTCCTTCCCCGGAGCCCGTGGGCACTGCTGTGCTGGGCGGGAAGTGCTGACCCGCCTTTCCAACTCTTTAATTCACTGGATGGAAATGTGGGGAAATGCAGGGAGAATAAAAGAAAGAAACAGAGCAGTGAGGTTAGGAGCGCCTCTGGGTCCTCTTCACACCAAAGGCAAAAGGAATACTAAGATCTGAGGTCAGGAAGCTCCCGCCGAGGACCGGCCCTGCACCCCCTGCTCGCCATGCCCGGCCAGGCCCGGCTCCTCTCCACGGTGACCAGTGCACGGCCGGCCCCCGCCCCCGTCCACAGCACAGCGAACCCGCTGCAGTGAAATGAGCGTGCCAGCAGAGTCTAAAGGCAGGCCGCAGGAAGCACAGAAATAGGAAGAGTGACGCGAGCCCTGGAGTCTCCTCAGATGTCATCAATGACCCAATAACCTCGTACGAGCAGCCCAGCCGCCCGCCTCCCACAGATCGCCCGCACACAGGCCTCTGAGTGACGGTATTGCATAGACGTGTTTGCCAAGTTAACCACGAGGCCGATGCCCATCCTGCCTCCAACACATCAACACTCCACTTCCATCGCTTTACACTGTCCGGCCGGTGTGCACACACCTGACCGGAAATCCTGTTTTCCTGAGGCCTGTGATAATAAAACCTGCTCCCGCCCCCAGAGACGTGGCTGCACACACAGCTTTTAGCAGAGTAAACTGGAGCAGAGCTTTCACACGCGGAACTATTCCTCTCTTCAGACAAGTCAGGTCAAGCACCTATCATCGATGTCCCAGATGTAAACGTCTAGTTTTACTGAAAAAGAAGAGAGAAAAAGGGAGAGAGGAGGCACGGAAGGAAGAGAGGAGGGAGAGGGAGGAGATGGCATGCTCTCCAAGGCCTGGTAGGAACTAAGCGGTGACACTCAACACGGGCATTTGGCACGTGTCTCCGTGTGGGCTGCCCCATGCACGGGGGAAACATCAGCAACAACCCCACCCTGGGGTTGTGAGATCAAAGTATCTCCAGACGTGAAAGTGCTCCCTGCGGGGTGAAGCGCCTGCTGAGAATACAGAGCCCAATGCATGCACTCCGAACAGACCAAGATTTATTCCCCCCCCTTTAAAAGCGAAGGCAAGACAGGAATACTAATGTATTCTCTAACTATTTTGGAATATGATTGAAATGTTTAGGTGGCAGTTGCTATAATTACCCCTTCCAAAAATAACTGAATAAATGAGCTCATTCAGCTTAACTCAATGTCATGATTACTCAGGTTACTCCAGTTTGGAAAGCGTGTGTAAAGTATGCTATTGTTAATTTTTTTATAAGAAATGTTAAATATAAGTACATTTGGACATGTGGACACATGTATTTGCTTGCATTAAAAAGCAATAAAGAGATTTCTCTACGGACATCTGGCTCTGGAACCACATATATGGTTTACAAAATTATAAACCCATGTTAAACTTTTAAGTTTCAGAAAAGCAAAAGCAGAATGAAAGCATATTAACCAAATGATGTATTGATTTGGTGGCATAAATAAAAGACTGTGGAACACAGCGTGTGACTGCATTTCCCGAGTGGGGAAACCCTAAGGACAGAACATCTCCAGCTTTTTCAGCAGCAGTGAAATTGTTGGTGAAAATATTGGTAGAGTTGTTCTAAATATTTATGTGTTGTGTACAGATAAACTAGGTTAATCAAGCAAATAGTTATATTCATGTTCCTAGGGACAAATTTCAGCTTAAAAGTAATACAAATATATAATCAGAAAAGCAAACTATCTTGTAATTTTGAATTATAAATATCAGTGTGGATTTACAATCCTATATAATAAACAGGTAATATGCAAATTAACCCTCAAGCCCTCACAAGATGGCTGCCTATGACCAGGCCGGCAGGGGGGTTAGTGAGGGACAACCAAACGGCTGAACAGCAGGCTGTGTGGGACAACCTGGCCAGCGAGGGGAGAAGGGAAGGTCCATGAGGGGTGACCACACTGGCAGGAGGGGAAGTTGGGGGAACCAGGCTGGCAGGAGGAACAATTAGGGGTGATCAGCCCAGCATGCAAAGAAAGTGAAGCCAGCAGCAGGGCGAAAGTTAGGGGTGACCAGGCAGACAGGCAGGTGAGCAATTAGGAGCCAGTGATCCAGGATTGTGAAAGGGATGTCCAGCTGCTGGGGATTGGGCCTAAACCGGCAGTGGGACTTTCCCCGAAGGGTCCTGGATTGGAGAGAATGCAGGCTGGGTTGAGGAGTCCCCTTCCCCCCCCCCCCCCCCCATGCACAAATCTCGTGTACTGGGCCTCTAGTCTATGTAATAAAAGCCTAAGCAACCCATCAAGGTGGAACGCCCAGTGACCAGTCGCTGACGTGCACTGACCACCAGGGGCAGACGCTCAATTCAGGCGCTATCCCCTGGCGGTCAGTGCATTCCCACGGGGAGTGCCGCTCCGCCAGAAGCTGGCTCTCCCACCTCCTCGGCAGCACTGAGGAGAGAGAGCCCCCGCTAAGCAGCAGTGAGCAGGCAGGCGGTAAGGAGAGAGGGGTCCCGGACTGCAAGAGAACACAGGCTGGGCTGAACACCCCCTCCCCCCCGCATCAGTGCACGAATTCCACGCATGGGGCCTTTAGTAGATCATGTTAAAAACAAAAGAAGGGCCCAGACGCCATGACCAACCCAGGAATGAGTGCCCCTAACTCCCAAACCAAAGCCCCCAATTCCAATTCCTTCTGTAGGGACCACAGACCATGGTCTCTGGAGATGGGGACCTGAGCAGCACAAGGGTGTCAGCTGCATGAAACTCCTTCAGCAGGGGAGAAGGGAAGGTCCTTGAGGGTGACCACACTGGCAGGAGGGGCAGTTGGGGGAACCAGGCTGGCAGGAGGAACAGTTAGGGGTGATCAGGCCAGCACTTCTCTACACACACAGCCTCCCTGGTGGCTGGTGGAGAATGCTGAGGAATCAGAACTCCAATTCTGAAAATTGCCAAATAAAGGCCAAGACTTCCCTGTGTAACGTTCCTCAGCATAAGGCTGGGCTCTCTCCTCGCCGGCTGCGGGGGAAGGAGAGGGCCCGGATGTCACCACTTTGCAGCCAGCCATCGGCAAAGCTGCCGGTTCCCGAGTCCTTACTCAGCCCACGGAGAGTCCTGCCAGGAAATCAAACTGAATCGGCTGAGATCTGACGGGAATGAGCAGGGCACACGGAGACAGAAAAGCTGGTCGACGGGTCTGGTTAGCGAGGTTCACCCGACTCGCGGGAAACCCCGGGGACGGAGACCAGGCAACCCCAACAAATCAGTCTGCGACTTCAAAAAGAAACAATGAAATAAATGACTAAGATAATAAACAATGGAATAAAGAAATGAGAGGGCGGAGAAACAAACAGGTCCTCCAGCTGCAATGTCCGAACCTTCTCTGGTCCTAGGTCTCACAGCCCAGTGCTAAACGGGGTTTCTGAGACGGGGAATTTACGCACAGGTGCGTGTCTGGTAACATCCCGGAGTTACTGTTACTGAAGTGTTTACAGATGAAAGGAAATGACATCTGGGATTTGCTTCAAAATCCAGCCGCTGGACAGTGTGGGCGTTTAGATGAATATAGTTCCAAAGAAAACCTCCAAGTGTTTTTGGAAGTTTGAACCAACCCTCACACACACACACACACAAGAATAATCAATTCATTCAATAAAGTCTTGAGAATTTATTCAAGTGTTAAATATAGGAGATGTTAACACCATTCGTGTCCTATCAAGACCATTCCCAGCAGCTGCCATGTGGTTTTCGCAGATCACAGACCACCGCCCCTCCCAGCGCGGCCGCGGACGTGTGCGGCCCGGGCGGTGCTCTCACGCAGGCTCCTTCCCCGGGGAGTCCACGCCTGAGCCAGGCACGGGTGCTGCATACACACGCAATGGCTGCGCGGACACACGGAGAGACCGGGGCCACCCCCCGGACAGGAAGCGAAGGCAAACCGCTGGGCGCGCTGGCGAGGACTGGGAGGAAATGAACTCACTTCGCTGTCACCGGGAAGCACGGGTCCGTCCACCCTCCCGACCCGCCAGCCCCAAAGCGCAGCCGTCCTCAAACTCAGAGCTACGGGGCCAGCTCCCTCTTCTCCCGCAGCAGGAGGAAGGAAGGTAGCACAGGAGGCTAAGTGGGAGGAGGGAGGAAAAAGGACAATTTCTCACCAGTGTGGCTTCTCGGGATGAAACCAGCACAACCCTGACACCCTCCTCTAACAGATGACAAAGGAGGTGTGAATGGGGGGCCCAGGCTGGCTTCAGGGCTCACACGGGCAGGCAGTGTCAGTTATGCCCCTTCCTCAGGGGGTTCTTCTGAGTCTCCCTACCTGGAGGCAACAGACCCAAGTGTGTGGTCCATTTCTCGCCAATTTCTAACGCCAACAAAGCAGTTCTAACGCCAACAAAGCAGGCTTGGCAGTTGGTACGAAAGTAAGGATGGCAGCGCCCTGGCTCCCAGGCAGAACTCGGGTCAAAGCCACAGGACCAAGGCTCTGCCCGAGACTGGCCTGTGCCCGCAGCTGCCTGAAAGAGGCTGGGCCCACTGAAGACCAGCTCCACCTGCTTACCTGCCCCTTCGCCTGGCAGTGAGGAGAGGTTGGCGGGCGGTGACATGCCCGCTGTGGGAGCCATGCCAGAGCCCCGGAGAGTCACGGCCGCTCAGAGTGGAGGCCTCTTGGTAGCTCACCAGATGGCCAAGGCCACTCTGAGCATGGGAATCCCAACCGGAATGTCCGGCGACCCGCAGGTGCAAGGGCACAGCACAATCTCACGTCACTGTGTCCTTCTGCAGCCAAGTGACGGGCGTCATTGTTGGCTAGAAGCTTCTTTTGTCTGAGAAGTAACAACATGTTGCCAGCTGGTCAGCGGGCAGGGGAAAGGCTAGAGCGGAGAGCTGGTACGGCTACGACGGAAGGCTAAGAGCTCAGATGTAGCTACCATGCTACCCAGCACAGAGCCGAGAGTGAAGCTCAGAGGCAGTTTCTATTGAGGCTACAGACCAGCCAGGGTGCAGGGCAGGGAGACAGGAGGAGCTGCCGAGGCTGTAGCTGAGGGCGCTCGG